TTTAGTTTTTAATTTTCAGATTTTAATCCAAAATTAAAACCTTAATTTAAAATATAAGTTAGATTGGAGTTTTTTAATACTTTATAAGAGGGATATTTCATTGAAAAAACACTTCGAAATAATTATTTCTATACATTTCATTTTATACTTATATAGTTTTGACGACTTGATAAGGCTAATTCTTTATCTCACTATATTCATGCCCATATATAGAGAACTAGTTGTGAGCTATAAGAGTTTTATTCTTGAACCATGTAATGTTGAAAATATCCGTACGAAGGGGAGGCCACATAATTTTAGGATATTGTCTTTGACATGACTTTCTAAAGGCTTTCTATCTAAAATCTAATATATTTCTTTGCATTATTTTATTGTGGAATATTTAGTATATTGTTATTTAGTTTATTGTGTTAATTACAACATATATACATAAATCACTTATTTTCTCCAACAAATTGTCTTCTAAATTTCTAATTGATGTGTCTAGGCAGTTATGCCCATTTCAGACTATTTTAAATAATATAAATATATATGTACCGTTTTGTATAATTTTTGTTAATTTAGGTTGTCATATTTCGTGCATTTTACATTCAATTCCACAGGAAAGTCTTGTATTGTTTTTGGGTCCAATTATCCCCAAACAACCCTTCTTGTTATTTTTATTTCGTGTCGTGACCAAATCTATTTGGAAGATATCAAGAGTCTACACATCTATATAAAATCAACTTTTCTAACTCTATTTGAATTGTTTAAATGTTTATTTATAATTTACAATAATCACTTCATTTTTATTTATTTTTATTTGGATACGTAAAAAAATGATTTGCCAATTTTATTTGTATAGATATAAAAAATAAAGGTTTGCAAGTGGTAAGATTCCAAAATACAATGACTTCCAATTATTACCACAAAAGACGGTAAAGTATAGATGTTCATTGTTTTTAATTATTTATTTCATAAAGCATCATAAAGTGCACAATAACACTAGAATGGTGTCATAGTGAGAACACCTTGCAATTAACTTTCACTAGTTGTAAATGAATATGTGTAAGTTGATGGTATTAACCTAAAAATTTGTGTGTCTACGTACATGTAATAAAGCATCATTATAGACATCAAACATATTATTTGAGTAGAAACATCTAAGGAACTAATTATATAAACCATATAAAATATCTTGTTTGTTAGAAACTTTTCAAATTTTCTTGGGATTTACTTCTAGGATTTTGAGTAAATTTGACAATATGTATGCACTAAATCACTAGAAGTTTATATATTTTTATCAACTAATCAAAACCCTTTTAATCGTAAAAAAACTAATAAAGAATCATACATGATGTGAAAAAAAACATTATATGTGTTGTTTTTTATTTTTGGTAACAAAGTGAGTCTATAACGAGTGACAATGCAATAATAAGATCTTGTCTTGGATGAGTTTGTTAAGCTTTGGAGCTCGATCATTGAATCATTAAGCAAATCTAGGATAGCGAAAGTAAAGTGTGCAATTTTTCTCTTGTCAACTTATTTTCATCACGGTGATTACTGCAACGATAGACGTGAGAGCATAGTCTCACATTGAGACGAATATTTATAAATCTTGCATGTTCTTTTGTGTCTTTATGTCTTTTTTACAATTTTATTGCAACTGATGGTATATAATTAAAGTTTCTAATTCTCAATAGAGATACACTTATTTAATGATGAAGAAAAAGAATATGATACCAATCTAAAAAATGACTTTTTTAGATTTTGTTATGTTAAACTTCTCTCAATTTACAAAAGGTGCCTTTTAATGAACCCTAAAGATTACATTGAATTATGTTGACATTTTACACCATAAAAGCTACATTCTTCGCAATTTCAAATTCCCAAGGTACCATTGTGCTCTCCGAGGTATTTTATTATTCTTTGCCTTTCCCTTTTATTCAACGGTGCAGACAAGAAGCCATCATTCTCTTTGCTAGTGCTCTACTAGTGATTAAGCACTTGTCTATTTATGTTCTTATTATATGTGAAAATGTCTGTCTGAGGGAGTGCATTGTCTATCATGATTTAAAAAGGGGAGAGGGATTCTAATTCGTCCTTGATCTTGAGATAAAATTAATCTTTTTCATCTTGATTGAAAAGAATCTGCATGTGTTCCTTTGGAAATTCTCAAAAATGAAAATTAAGCATATATTGTTCTTGTTGCTGATTGAAAAGTTTAATTTATTAGAGACGTGATATATATATTTATTTGAATATATATTAATTTCAATAATTACAAGATTTTTAACTATATATGCGTCTAATGTGAGATCAATTCACTATTTGTATAACATAATTGAGTTGAATGTTATGCATAGAGCCGACTTGACCGTGAAACCATCTAGGCGACAGCCTCGACCTCGTATCGATGGAAGGCCCCAACATTTTGTATTTTTTTTATTTTAAAATTTCCCTCTCTTTTAAATAATGAATATGTTAATAAAAAAAGAGGAAAATCAAAATAAAATATAACTCAACCCTCACAGAATATCCAATTCACAAGGCCACCAATCAAAGATGTTTGTTCTTCTCCATTTTTTCTCGTTTCTTCAGCTCTTATTCAACCCCTAACCACCACCAATTTTTAGATTATATTCAAAGCAATGCATCTCTCAACTACAATTTGCATCAGAACATCAATGTTATACTTATTTTAAGGCGAGTTTATCTTGAAGAATGTTATGCTTTTAATTTTTAATTTTTATCTATTTATCAATTATATATGTGTTTAATAAATGTTAGAAGGTTTTTGTTTTCTTATGTATTTGTTTCTTCTCTATTATCAGACATTATGGTTTAGTTGAAGATTCTATTGAATGATCTAATATTAATCTGTGAGTTGACATTATATTTTTGTTCAAGACACACTACTGTTAAAAGTTTGTCCTTCTGTGCTTAACTGAACTTCTACTCATTTTCTTGTTTGATTTCATGAAATGCCAGAATTTTTCCCATCGAGAAAAGAAGTATTTATTATTATTATTATATTTTTTTAATCAAAAAATATTATTTTTGAGAAGTTACCCATTCAAAATTTTCTCCTGAGACCAAAAGTTAGTTGAGACGACTCTAGTTATGTATCATAAGAATTTGCCTCCCGACAGACTAGTTTTTGTAAAAGACTTGAAAGCACGATATGTACCATGACAACTTTATTTATTATAATTTTATGAAACTTTAAATCTCAAGAACTTGACAACTTAATTACTTTACTGTCAAGATCATTCAGTCAAATCACCAAGAGAATTATTAAATGCAAAACTTACTTTAATTCATTGGAAATGATTATTTATTACTGGATCTTGATTCCGAATCTTGAATCATAGAGATCAACTCGATGTCTTCATGTTTGGTTTCCTAATCTTTAATGTTGAATATTGTCTCTTTTGATTCTTGAATTCTTGTTCTTGACTTTACCTTCTTACTCCATAATCTTGATTGCTTCAATATCTTATTTATAGACAATTTACATATACAGACCCACACGACTACTTAATAAATCCAACATTACTTTATTTACTTCCCTCTCGAGTTTTTATTTTTAATGCTTTAATGGAAGTCATCCATCTTCACACAGAAAATCCCATTAACTTTTCAAAAGACAAAAGCCACACACCAAAAAAGTTTTAACATGTGGACCAATTTGGTCCATTCCACTCTGAAAGTAAAGCTTAATGCGACTAACCGACGACGAGAAATAACACACTTTTATATCATTGGTTTCCTTTAAAGATACTCTTTGGACTTCTAAGACAAAGGATAAGAAATTAATAGTGGTGTTTCATTGAAATGTGTGATGACAATGTAGGTCTTATGATTTGTTTGGTAAAGTTAATTATAAGTTAAACTCATGTTCATCATATTGCTATGTTATATTTTAATATTGTATAATAGACATTTTTAAAGTTTATTTGATTCATCGAAGTGGATACAATAATAAACTAATATCTTACAAATCTGTCCTTTTTAGTATTGCTAATGCTAGTCATACATACTATTAGTTTTTCCGAAGTAGAATTGAAAGCTTTCCAATTATGTTCTTCAATTCTTTACTCGGAAGTGGACAATTTTTCATTAAGCTCAACACCTAAATAAGCAAGTTTGAGTCAATGTTTAGAAATCGACTTGATATCTTACACAATATAAAACACCTAGACAAAATAGAATAGATTTTTGAGCAGAGCTCGAACTAATTTCTTTTTTTTTTTTTTTTAAAAAGGCTCTTAAAATTGTTTTAGATTTTTAATTCTATATATTTCATTCTCAAGTTTATCACAAATGAGCTTCAAACCATCTAATGTCAACTTTTGCTGGCTTTTCTCTTCATTGGCAAGGTCAAGTTGTATGTCCCCTCCTATGTTTCATTTCTTTTCAATATTATAAACATTAGCTGATGAAACGCCCCCAACAAACATTTCATCTGTTATGGAAATCTCAGGCCCAAGCACTTAAGGCGATGATCAGAAGTTGCCTATAGAGTTGAATGTGTTTTGATTACCCCACTTCAAGAGAATAAATACCTTTTTCTGTTAACACAGCTGAATAGTAAAAAATTCCGCTTCCATTAATGACAAGCGGGCATAAAAAAGCTACCATTCATCTTGGAGGCCATCCACCACTGCACGTTGCTTGGCCAAGATGAAGTCAAGCTCATGTGCTAACTACATGACGACATGTGTTGTGCCTCACAAGTCAATTCGGACAAAACCCTTTTGGCATTTTTAGCACTGGACAATACTAATAAATGAAAAGAAACTAAATTCTCGTCTACTGTGCCGTCCAAGTCTAATACAATGCATGAAATGTGCACTTTGTGTACTCTCTGTATCGACAACATTATGCAACTTGGGATAGGGTCAAAGAAGCACTAGAATAAGAACACGTCAATCAATAAGAATAATTTTTCTTTCATCTTTTCTACTCTACTATGGAGATGGCTCCCAGTTCAATTTGGCCAAGCAACTGGAAAGCAGTTATCATATCGAAAGAAAAAATATGTAAATTCAAGAACTTCCTTTTAAGCGTGTTTTGAGGAATAAGCATTAAACAAGAACACAACTTCACATATATTCCATATGCCTCCTGATCATTCAACACAATCAACTGAATTATGCGCATGGGGAAGGTTTAGATATCTAACCAACTCTACATGTCGCACCATCCACGACCAGAAATGGTACCTTTTACAGGCTTCAAGGAGAATGAGGAATTCTTCTCAATTGGTGATAATCTAGCCTCTATACAAGAATTTCCCTTCTCCAATTGGCACAAAATGCAGGATTGAATTGTCACGAGAAACATATTCAGTTTCGATACTGATTCCAAATAGTTTGTACACGTATCAGATTGCATCCTCTGTGCTCGTCCAGGACTCCATCCAGATAATATCCCCACTTACCACTGCCTGACCATCGCTCCTCATGGTTTCCTTCGACAGCTTTATAAGTGTAGGGTACAGGCACCTGCATGATTCACAACATCCTGTAAATGGTGGGATTCAAAGTATTTTAAAAATTTTGGATGACAGAAAAATGAATTTCATGAATGTTTCACAGATTAGAACTAATCACCCTTTTATCTCTTGTTTACATCAATGTTGAACTCGTCATGAAGTGGTCAGTCTATCAAAAATTCCAAAATTGCTGAGATAAAAAATAAGGGACAATTGCAGTAGAAGCCCCAAACCTTTGAAACACTAGCAGACTTTTTCCAAACCTTTGATTTGTTGTGGCCGTCACCCCTAACCTTTCCAAACGTTGCATGTGAGGTTCTTTCGGACGATTTTCATCCAAAATTCTGTTAGTTGACCAAAAAAATGATTTTGACCACATTTTAACAATTTTTAAAGGGGCAGAATGATAATTTTACATTAAAATCAAGAATCAAAAAATAAAATTGGGCTTCTTCTTCCCTAACCCACTCCAAATCCACCCCCACCCTTGTGTCACTGCTTCATATAGCATTTTTTCCATTCTCTCTCGTTCTTTCGGACGATTTTCATCCAAAATTCTGTTAGTTGACCAAAAAAATGATTTTGACCACATTTTAACAATTTTTAAAGGGGGCAGAATGATAATTTTACATTAAAATCAAGAATCAAAAAATAAAATTGGGCTTCTTCTTCCCTAACCCACTCCAAATCCACCCCCACCCTTGTGTCACTGCTTCATATAGCATTTTTTCCATTCTCTCTCACACACACACTAGAAATAAACTCACGTTATACATTTATATAAATCAATGCGCCACAAGAAACAGTTTTTCGATGATATGTTTTAGGATTCTTTGAACCAAGTCTTGCTATCAATAATGAAGCCAGTAGTTACAGTAAACCAGATAAAAATTCACCAAGTGGATAGAGATATAAATTGTCCTATATGTTGGATTCTACAAGATTTTAATTATGCATATACGGTTAACTAAGCCCAAGTCCCAAAATTTACTTCATCCTGTTTAGATGCACATTTTGTCCACGAATTTTTTTTTATCTATTTATCACATTTTCATCGTGAAAAATGAAAAAATGGGAATAATATGCAGCAAAGGGCACATCACAGTTCACATTTTTGTACCATCTTCTCCCATGGGTTTCTTGGTTTGTTGTTGGGTGGGGGTGAATTTGGGGTAGGTTAGGAAAGAAGAAGACCAATTTTATTTTTTGATTTTTTTATTTTAATGTAAAGTTATCATTCTGCCCCTTTACAGATTTTGGATAAAAATCGTTGAAAAGAACCTCACATGCAACGTTTGGAAATATCATGAGTGATGGCTACAACAAATCAAAGGTTTAGGAAAAATTTGTTAGTCTTTCAAAAGTTTGGAGCTTCTGCTGCAATTATCCCAAAAAATAATGATAGTGAAAATAGAGTTACAGCACCACTAACAAACCCTTGTCGCCAAAAAATTTGGCGCACGATACATGTAGGGTCGGGCAAAACTCCCGAATCGAACCAAGCGGTTCTTCTTAAATTAAATACCCGAACATGTATTTGAATCGAGAATCGACGGTTCAATTCGGTTCTCAGTTCTAAATTAAGAACCGAAGAACTTCCTAATTTTTAATTTATTTTTTGAATAAGCCAGATTATTTTATTTTTCTAAATAAATTTGCTAACTAATTAATTTAGCTTAAATTCAAAAATAAGATTTTCATATTTCTAATTTTCAGTCCAAGCTCAATTTAATCAAATTGACCTAAGTTTTAACCAAATCTATTATTCTACCATAGTGCAGTTTCTACTGTTTTGGGAAAATCGAATTGAAGCTCGACAGCGCCTCTATTAATTATTGTGAGCTGACTATCTTCCTCTTCCTGTGATTTTAACAATAAAAACTATGAAGAACTCAGCAAAAAGAGATGCAATAAGCACATAAAATTGGCCCACATTATTTTATAAACACTAAGATTAAACATGATATTAGTAAAATCAATGTAGCTTTGTAAATATTAAAAAAATTAATTATAATACAGGACGTGGCAACTGAATGGAGCCGAACCCGAACGATTTCATAATTAAATTTGGACTCGACGGTTCCACTCACTAAATACCCGAAAATTTCGGATTCAGTTCCGAACCAAACCGTGCCCAACCCTAGATACATGAATCATTCATCACTATTTCGTAAGATCTACTAAATCTACAACAACTAGGTTGGCGGAAGGATTAATAATAACCAAATGATATCTTACGCTACGTGGCGTATATTTGACAAATGACACTCAGTGCAAAAATTGTGAAAATCTGGACTGGTCAGACTTCGCAACTCTGAAGGTTGGCACCACATTAAACCTATATACAGGAAGTCTATCAATTGAGAAAACCTCAGAAATATAGAGGAAAATTGAAAAACTCTCTGAAGTTGCTCTTCTCGAACAACAGCCCCAAACGGCTACACATTTTTCGACGTAAAGCTTATATGTGTTCTAAATTAAGTATTTTAATACCTACAACTAAGAAAAAATAACTGAAATATTAATGACTAACAGCATAATTCTAACTTAGAGTTTCTCAGTCATTAAAGAGCAGCACAGAGGACTTGTAGGGTTCAAACCATTTTCCTTATCAGGTGGGAAGAGAATTTATCATGAAATGTTGAGCCGCCACATAAGCAACAAAAAGGTTAAAACAAAAACACAATATTATGGCAAGTGAGCAAATTGGAACAAAAGAATATAATAAAGATAGAAATGAAACCGTGAACACTATAAATTGATCTGACATAAGAGATACCCAGATTTACCTTTTCTTGTCTGATAGTGAATCGAGCTCCACCATTGATATAAAAGAGAATCCCCCCTCATCTGCAACCCTGAATCGAAAAGAAGCAACCAAAGAGTTGTTTTCCAGAATCCTGTGGATTGGGTAAACATAATGGGAAAAGGGAAAAATATAGAAACGTACTTGAATAGGTGAATTCACCAGCTCGATGTTCATGACTTTGGTGGCCTGTAATCCTAGTCATGGTTATAAATGAAAACTCGAAGGATTTTGGTAGTTTAAGCAGGAAGAATAAATGATCCTAAATACAATATGTAAAAGCCTGGTAGATATGGTTCAAACTAGTTTTGGTTCCCGCACATCTTACAGTTGATATCAAAAGAAAATGGAATGTTCATTCCCATTAATATTTCTCAAGCTTGGAGATTTTACTGTCATTGTAGAGATGCCCATCTATGCTAGGAACAAATCCTTTTTCCATCATTTCCTCCTTAATGATGTCGTAGGTTATCCGGTTAGGTATCAATCCTTTCTCTAACATCTCATTAAGAAATCGGTTTGCTTCTTCTAGCTTGCCTTTCTCACACAATCCCTTAATCAACACATTATATGTCACAACGTTTGGTGATTTTCCTTCTTTCTCCATTCTTCTCCTCACCGTCAAAGCTGCATTTGGGTTTCCTTCCCGGCAATAACCAGCCATCAGAGCGTTATATGTTACATGACTCGGAGTCAATCCCTTCTCAGACATTTCATCAAGAAGTCTAACTGCCTTTCTGGTTTCAGCATTCTTGCACATTGCATCGATCCGTATGTTATAGGTCACTACATCAGCTTTTATGATCTTCTCCCCCATTTCATCTAAAAGCTTATTTGCCATTTCTTTGTTTCCATTGAGATAATAACCACCAATCAAACAATTGTATGTTGAAACATTTGGAAAAACCATGCTCTCCGACATCATATCTCGTATGGCCATTGCTTCTTCCATTTTTCCTGCTTTACAGTAGGCATCAATCAATGTGTTAAATGTTAACACATTGACTGCCACCCCTTTTTCCACAATATCATCAAATAATTCCCTAGTTTCCTTCAGCATTCTCTTCTTTGAAAACCCATTCATGATTGCATTATAAGTAACAATGTTTGGCTCCAAACCGAAATCCACCATCTCATCCCTTAAACCAAGTGCTTCATCAACTTTGCCATCATCACAAAACCCATTAATCAATGAATTATAAGTAATCACGCCAGGCCTCAGCCCTTGCTGCTTCATTTCCTTGAATACCCTCACTCCTGCCACCAAATTATCATCCTTACAGAACCCATCAATAAGAGTATTATAAGTGATCTCATTTGGGCACACCCTCCTCTCCACCATTTCCTTCAATAAGGTGTCGGCTTTGTACATCTTCCCCGGCCCACCTCTCTTACAGTAACCGTCAATTAATGTATTATAGGTTACCACATTTGGCATCACCCCATGGACCTTCATATCCTCTACCACATCACCGGCTCTATTTAATCTCCCTGCCTTGCACAACCCATTTATCACAATATTAAACGTGATCAAGTTAAACTCAATCCTCCTCCTAATCATCATCTTATACACAAATTCCAAGCTTGCAACTCTACCCTCCTTCACCAACGAGCCCAACATTAAATTGCACGAATATACAGATAACTTAAACCCGTAATCCCCCGCCCTCTTAAACGCCTCCAACGCGTTATTGTACATTCCATTATTGGCGTAAGTCATTATCAACATATCCACAATAATACTATTAGCACATGAATTGTCGCTAAAATTTAAAAGGGTACTAAAAAATGCAGAATTTGAAACGATATTCGCTTGTTTCAAGAGTTTATGCAGTAAAGATCGGATCTTGGGGTACCTTTTATCATTTGCTAATAGAATGAAGAGTTTGATGTAGTCTTCCAGAGAGTGGGTTACCTTAAAAGCGTGTTGGGACCATTGCAAAAAAGCGAGAATGATATCCGAGGGGAAGTTGAACTCAAAGAGTTGTTGGAGAAACTGGGTTGGGTTGGCTGGTTGGATGAGTGGTTCGAGTTTGGACCATTGTTGGATAGTGATTAGCGAGGAGACTTGTGATCGAAAGTTTGGGTCGGAGAGGCACGGTGATGTTAGGGTCGGAGGGTGGGTAGGGACCGTGTGGAGATGGTATGAGAATGAAGATGCGGCATGTGGTGTCGGAGCACGGAGGCGGCGGAGGCGGTGCATGGAGGTAACGGTATGAAATTCAGACCCAGATACGACACAGTAGTGCTTGGAAAAAGAAGGCGAGACTGGCGACTGCAACTATTCAAAAGTGGGTTTTGCTGAGGCTTAAAAAAAGGGGAAAAAATCTAATTAGTGGCGGAAGGATTATAAGATTTTAGGGTAAATTGTAGCGAACGTCCCCATTTTTTTTCAGTTTGCACTTTCATCCATAATCTATTTTCTGAATAATTGCATCCCCAACCTTTGATTAATTAGCGACAAACGTCCAAATGGATGAATATCATCCAATTCTCCATTAGTCAACTTTCAAATTCAAAAATTAGAAATGGTAAAATGGTCATTTTCATTATTTTTAATTAAAATACTCACTACTTATGCTCCATTTGTATTGATAGATTATCCTCCATTCGCTTAACTTTCACTACTTCATCGAGTTTGGAGCATTTTCTCATTTGGATGGCTGCTCCAATGCACTATAGATCTTGAATATAGCTTTATTGTCCTTCATAGTTATTAGACCCAACCTGGTGGTCGATTTGAAAAAATTGTATGGTCAACATGTCAATGGTTCAACCGATAAGTCAACAGTTCAATTAATGGGTTATTATTAGACTTTAATTTTAATTATATTATATTTTTGAAATAAAAAGAAAACTAGTTCATATGCTTACTTGACCAATTAATTCAGTTGGATCGTACCAAGATTCAGTTCGGCGATTCCCGATCTGGACCGGTCGATCCGATCTAGTTTTAATAACTACGCTGTCTTCCACTATTGAGATTAACTCCCATTTTCCCATATCAATGAGAACTCTAGCAATTGAAATGGAAAGGTCGTTCCAAAATCACCAATATGTCTTGGTTTTCTTCAATGACAATTACAAGAAAGTCTATCGAAAATAACAATTTGTCAACTTTGAGGAGACATAATTTTCCTCATATCTTGCGATGCTTGATTGACCAATCTATAAGCTGGAGCCATTGTTGGCTGGATCTTTTAACTTTATACGAAATTTTATTTGAGAGAATTGGACTGTACTCCTCAATTAAAACCGTTGTTCATAGCACGTCAATGTTCTTTTTCTTGGTCAACATCTTCATAAATTTTTGGTAGGTGGGCATCTGGGCTATAGTTTCTACAAATGGAATGTTGATGTTCAATTTCCAGAAATTTTTCAAATTTGTCCCAATGAAATTTCTTAAGCGTGTAAACTAATAGAATGAAATTGCCCGTTATCATTTGCCGACTCTTTTTTAGCACTTGGCCTCTTCACCTAAGTTTCTAGGAGTTGGGCGCACTACATATGGTAATTGCATTCATCTACTTCTCCAGCTGACCTCATTGTTACTTGGAAGGGTATCTTATAATTGTTCTCTACTAGTATCTTTGTTATTTAGGCAATTTCCTTTCCAAAATCTTCAAAGAGACAGTATGACTTTGCAAGATAGTGTCATTCTGCAGCATGTATTGAGATTGTTGATTTGCCATTTGAATTATTGCTTCCTCATATTTTGCTTTCATATCTCGTGCTTCACTTGCATTCGGTTGATTCTAAATATATTGAGTTTTGTTGTAGGATAGTTTAGGATGATTTCGCCAGACTTGATTATAACTTGAGAATATGGGTTGTTATGCTGACATTAATTTTTTTTGTGGAAATTACCAAAATAGTCAATTTTTGACTTTGCATTTACAAAAATGTCACTTTTTTTTAGGCATTGCAAGAATATCAATTTTAGACATATTTGCCCCTCTAGATAATTTCAAATACCCTATATGTCCTAATTAAATGAGCTTTGACCAATGGAAGAAATTGTACCAAAATTAAATAAGATTTGACTCAATGGAAGAAATTGTACAAAAATCTGCCCTGTGAATTTGAAAAAAAGGGAAAAATTAGACCCAATACCAATGGAAAAAGTTGTAAAAAAATCTGCCCCATTTTTTATACCCTCGTTCATATTCTTTTCCTCTTTTCCTCTCTCTATGCTAGTGCATTCGAAAGATCCAAGAAGGTCGAAAGCCCACTTCTCTTTTAAGTCTAAGCTTGCCGTCGTCGACTCTTCATCCACGCCACTGCCTGCCTAGCCTTGCCCTACCGGTATAAAATCTAATTTGTATGTAATATGCGTTTAGATTTCAGTATTTTTTCTTTTTTTGCATCCAACAATTTCTTAAGTGAAGTGGGCTGAATTAGGGCTATTTTATTGAAGTTTCGAAAACCTGATTGAAAAGTTTAATTTATTAGAGACGTGATATATATATTTATTTGAATATATATTAATTTCAATAATTACAAGATTTTTAACTATATATGCGTTTAATGTGAGATCAATTCACTATTTGTATAACATAATTGAGTCGAATGTTATGCATAGAGCCGACTTGACCGTAAAACCATCTAGGCGACAGCCTCGACCTCGTATCGATGGAAAGCCCCAAAATTTTGTAGTTTTTATATTTTAAATTTTCCCTCTCTTTTAAATAATGAATATGTAAATAAAAAAAGAGGAAAAATCAAAATAAAATATAACTCAACACTCACAGAATATCCAATTCACATGGCCACCAATCAAAGATGTTTGTTCTTCTCCATTTTTTCTCGTTTCTTCAGCTCTTATTCAACCCCTAACCACCACCAATTTTTAGATTATATTCAAAGCAATGCATCTCTCAACTACAATTTGCATCAGAACATCAATGTTATACTTATTTTAAGGCGAGTTTATCTTGAAGAATGTTATGCTTTTAATTTTTAATTTTTATCTATTTATCAATTATATATGTGTTTAATAAATGTTAGAAGGTTTTTGTTTTCTTATGTATTTGTTTCTTCTCTATTATCAGACATTATGGTTTAGTTGAAGATTCTATTGAATGATCTAATATTAATCTGTGAGTTGACATTATATTTTTGTTCAAGACACACTACTGTTAAAAGTTTGTCCTTCTGTGCTTAACTGAACTTCTACTCATTTTCTTGTTTGATTTCATGAAATGCCAGAATTTTTCCCATCGAGAAAAGAAGTATTTATTATTATTATTATATTTTTTTAATCAAAAAATATTATTTTTGAGAAGTTACCCATTCAAAATTTTCTCCTGAGACCAAAAGTTAGTTGAGACGACTCTAGTTATGTATCATAAGAATTTGCCTCCCGACAGACTAGTTTTTGTAAAAGACTTGAAAGCACGATATGTACCATGACAACTTTATTTATTATAATTTTATGAAACTTTAAATCTCAAGAACTTGACAACTTAATTACTTTACTGTCAAGATCATTCAGTCAAATCACCAAGAGAATTATTAAATGCAAAACTTACTTTAATTCATTGGAAATGATTATTTATTACTGGATCTTGATTCCGAATCTTGAATCATAGAGATCAACTCGATGTCTTCATGTTTGGTTTCCTAATCTTTAATGTTGAATATTGTCTCTTTTGATTCTTGAATTCTTGTTCTTGACTTTACCTTCTTACTCCATAATCTTGATTGCTTCAATATCTTCTTCCCCATTGTTGATTTTGATTGTGGGTTTTGAATCTTTCTCTTCAATATGTTTTTTTTTTGTTATCATTGTGTTAACTGGATAACACATAGAATAAGAATCATACCTGAACTGAGAACCATAACCTATATATATCCATAAGTACTTCGTCCATTATGAAATACAGCTCCAATGGATCTAGTCTTTACACATATTTAGGTTTATACTTTATTTAGATACCCAAAACCCATAACTATAATTCTTTATTAGATCACTTTAATTGAACTTAGCCTTAATATAATATTTATAGACAATTTACATATACAGACCCACACGACTACTTAATAAATCCAACATTACTTTATTTACTTCCCTCTCGAGTTTTTATTTTTAATGCTTTAATGGAAGTCATCCATCTTCACACAGAAAATCCCATTAACTTTTCAAAAGACAAAAGCCACACACCAAAAAAGTTTTAACATGTGGACCAATTTGGTCCATTCCACTCTGAAAGTAAAGCTTAATGCGACTAACCGACGACGAGAAATAACACACTTTTATATCATTGGTTTCCTTTAAAGATACTCTTTGGACTTCTAAGACAAAGGATAAGAAATTAATAGTGGTGTTTCATTGAAATGTGTGATGACAATGTAGGTCTTATGATTTGTTTGGTAAAGTTAATTATAAGTTAAACTCATGTTCATCATATTGCTATGTTATATTTTAATATTGTATAATAGACATTTTTAAAGTTTATTTGATTCATCGAAGTGGATACAATAATAAACTAATATCTTACAAATCTGTCCTTTTTAGTATTGCTAATGCTAGTCATACATACTATTAGTTTTTCCGAAGTAGAATTGAAAGCTTTCCAATTATGTTCTTCAATTCTTTACTCGGAAGTGGACAATTTTTCATTAAGCTCAACACCTAAATAAGCAAGTTTGAGTCAATGTTTAGAAATCGACTTGATATCTTACACAATATAAAACACCTAGACAAAATAGAATAGATTTTTGAGCAGAGCTCGAACTAATTTCTTTTTTTTTTTTTTTTAAAAAGGCTCTTAAAATTGTTTTAGATTTTTAATTCTATATATTTCATTCTCAAGTTTATCACAAATGAGCTTCAAACCATCTAATGTCAACTTTTGCTGGCTTTTCTCTTCATTGGCAAGGTCAAGTTGTATGTCCCCTCCTATGTTTCATTTCTTTTCAATATTATAAACATTAGCTGATGAAACGCCCCCAACAAACATTTCATCTGTTATGGAAATCTCAGGCCCAAGCACTTAAGGCGATGATCAGAAGTTGCCTATAGAGTTGAATGTGTTTTGATTACCCCACTTCAAGAGAATAAATACCTTTTTCTGTTAACACAGCTGAATAGTAAAAAATTCCGCTTCCATTAATGACAAGCGGGCATAAAAAAGCTACCATTCATCTTGGAGGCCATCCACCACTGCACGTTGCTTGGCCAAGATGAAGTCAAGCTCATGTGCTAACTACATGACGACATGTGTTGTGCCTCACAAGTCAATTCGGACAAAACCCTTTTGGCATTTTTAGCACTGGACAATACTAATAAATGAAAAGAAACTAAATTCTCGTCTACTGT